CAACTGAAATTATTCTACAATAATTATTCCAACGTAGTACATTTTAATCCAGTTTTGTGTAAAACAAACAAATAAATGAATAAATAAATAAACAATGTCCTAAAATTTTGCACATCATTTTCAAATTTTCTGGAAATGAAGGTCAGAATAAAGACATTGCATTGGGTTGTATACTCCTCATGGAAAATGTATTGTAGTTCATCTCAGTTGGATCAAGGTTAACGGGTTTGTTTTGACCCTCTGCTGATTTATACCATAACTACACACTCTGGTATTATGCTGTAGGTATTATAGTCATCTGGGTAGTTTATATACAGTATATGTATTATCAAAGCAATAGTAGTAGTGTGCCAGCAATAGCAAACTGCTCGACAGTCTATGAAAAATCCTTTGCTTTTGTTGTAATACGGGCCATCAATGAATTGCTCTTGGCGTGTCCAGGTAAATGTCCCACTTATTATCAAGAAGACAGACCCGACGCCTTGAGACTATCTTAGTTCTGGTGTATGGCTGCAGAAGTGATTTGCAGAACGGTTCGTGCTGAAATGAATGAGTCTTCTAATCAAGCTCAGAGCGAATTAGACCTTGATAATACACCAGAGATAATGAGCGACACATGACTCAGAAAACCATCTATGCAGTGACACCTGCCCAGTGGTGCAAATCCACCAAAATAGGCCTTAATGAAATGAGAATGTGTTCTGCCACCATTACAGCACATACCTCTAGTGTGTCAAGGCTACTTATGAAGTGAAGGCTCTGAGATTTTCGGAGATTAGGTGCATTAAGCATTAGAGCAAATGATGGAAAATATGTGGTTTTGATTAGCTGCTTCTTCTGATATATTGATATTGATGTTTACTGCCATAATAAAAGCTGCAAAGAATAAATGGTGGATGATTTGCTTGCTTCTTGCATGGGACATCGTCATAGCACTGGCCAGGGAGTCAGCCGATTCTAAGGTGTCCCATTGTCAAAATCACTTGAGTGCACCGAAACATTCAGTCCCTTGAAAATACCCAGACTGCATCGGCTGCTCATTATATTCACTAACCAGAAATGTCTTTGTAAGTCTTTCAAGCGTAATTATATGAAGACAAAACCTTTTTTTTGTTTGTTTTTAAAAGAGATTTTGTTTGTAATTATCTATCTCTAATATGAAGGGAACAATCCTGCAAGCTTTTTTTTTGTAAAATACTATACAGGATTCAGGCTTATACAGATTCAGAGTAGTTAGAAAAAGATTAAAAAGGCCTCTCTTTATTTTTTATTTATTCATTCATTAATGTATTTTCTGCCATTTTTGTTCTACTGAGATACTAATATTTATATTGTAAGCATGTGGTACCTTTCTTTATTGCTGTGTATGTATTTAATCATCTGAATATAAGTAATTGCGTAGTCTGAATGCAATTACTTATATTCAGATGTTTTTTTGGAAAGAAATCTCTTTATGCGTGCAAAGCCTGCATTTATTTGTTCAAATATATTGTAAAAACAGTAATATTGTGAAATATGATTACAATTTACAGTTGTTTTCTATTTTAATATATTTGACACGTGATGACAAGCTGAATTTTCAGCAGCCATTACGTCAGTCTTTAGTGTCTCGTGATCCTTCAAAAATCATTCTAATATGCTGCTCAAGAAACATTTCTTATTATTATCAAAGTCAAATTTTTCCCATTTTTGCACATCACCTGGCGATGGATAAAAATGAAACAGTTCAGTTCAGGTAAATGAAAATATAATTGTATTGAAATATAATTTTTTGAACAATATAAAATCAATTCATTGCATCCATGCTGAATAATAGTGTAACACTTTTCAGCAAGGATGCAATAAATTTATCCTGACCCCAAACTTTTGAATGGTATAGTGTATGTATATTATCTGCTTTTCTTAGCAAAAAATGCAGCACAAAAAGCTTATGCATTTTATAATGTCACGTCAGATTTCAACAGCTGCTATAAGATGCACAATGATGTGTTTATACAGTGATGTTGACTGCTATGTTAGAATTAGGCCTGTCACGATAACAACTTTTTGTTGCGCAATATATTGCCCCAGAAATAATTGCGATAAGCGATATTATTGTCATTTTAAAGACCATTTTATGCCACTGAATATATAATCATAATGTAACAGTATAATAACGCAAGAAGGCCTACACACTTCCAAATGACAACAAACTTTTACTTTTTAAGAAAATTCAGATCATGGAAATTAAGTATCAAAATATTGGATGCCTTAAAAACTTGAATAAATAGTAAATAAACATTTTCTAACAAAAAGGGCAAAGTAACAAGTAGAAAAAAAGAAAAATGCACAAAGAACTTGTATGGAGATTTTTCGATCGACCTTCTTTTCTCTGTAAATTAAGGGTGCACTGTATTGCTGAAAAACACAATCACTACTCAGCAGTCTGATGTCTGTATGCACAAAGGCACAGATCCCTAAACAAGATCATATCTGCAGATGAAACTTTTTTTTGTAGAAGCATTTTTATTTGAACTAGCACCTCATGTCTACACCACGTTATGTACGAGAAGCTGCAAAAGACACCGACGCAAGTGGAACGCAAAAAACATAGTAACATAAATTTTTAAGTAAATATAACGGGCGATATATTGCGTCACCAAAAATTATTGAGGTCATGTACATATATTGCGCGATAAGTCGATATATTGATTATTGCGACAGGCCTAGTTTTAATGCACAATGTCATAATCATGTCATCAGTGTATAAGTATTTAGCAGATGAAAGCCTTTGTTAATTCTCTGAATATGTGTTATACTATACAGTTATACTGATTCTCATGACAGAGAATTTTGGAAATGACATGCACATACAATTTAGTGGCTTTTTAAATAATTGTTATTTTTTATTTCATGTCTTGAAAAATATCTAATTATAGGATGACTATTGAGGCAGTGAATCCCACAGCATAATTAATCACACACACCACTGCAAGCCAATTAGCTCTTTCCGTTGCCCCGCCCCCTCTCTTCTCGTCTACTGAATAGCATTTCAGTACTGGAAGAGGCTGTCACTGCTGACGACTGCGCGGTTATTGTTTAACTGCATTGAACTGACAGATGTGCCAGCAGACTCTCGCTCCCTACCTTATAAAGTAATAACATGGCTAACTGACCTCAACAGGAAGCCAGCAGTGATATGCGGTTGACATTCAACAGCGCTGTGGATTGAAAAAGCCAGTGAAAATGACCCCGCGTCTCAGGCAGTAGTCCAGTACAAACGACGGTACAAACAGAGGAACGTGCACTCTGGAAAGCTAATTTATTCTTTTAGCGTGATTCCTAGACATTTAATACCTCTTTGTTTGGTGTAATTGTGTTTCTCTGTGTGGAGATGGTAAGAAAAGAGGCTGGCTGAGCGAAGGGGTTGTACTATGCCGTTCGACAATGATGAATGTGTATAGGGCAGGAGCACCTGCATGAGAGAAGCAGAGGTTCACATGATGAAACTCTGCATTGTAATTTGCCATGGTGTGCCATAATAAATAAAAGCTCTTGGATTCCCCCACCACCTCTCCGTCTTTAATCTCTCCACCTCCCTTTCTCACACCTTAAGTCTTCGTGCAATTACACTGTGAAAAATTGTCTCCGAATCTATACAGATCTTCGGATCTTTAATTGGAGCATACACCACAACATCTGTCATATACTGAAACCAATGTGGTTTTTACAGCTACTCATCCCTTGATAACACTGCCGACTGTGATCCTGTAATGGTGAAAACAAAACAGTCAAGTTTAAAAAGCCTTAGTGTAGTCTGTTAAAGCTTATCAGTGAAATGTTCAAATACATTGATGTTCAAACGTTTGGGGTCTGTTTTTGAAAGAAGTCTCTTATGCTCACCAAGGCTACATTTATTTGATCAATAATAAAGGAAAACAAGTAATATTGTGAAATATTATTACAGTTTCAAGTAACTGTTTTCCATGTTTATGTATTCAATTTTTTTATTTATTCCTGTGATGGCAAAGCTGAATTTTCAGCATCATTACTCCAGTCTTTAGTGTCACATGATCCTTCAGAAATTATGCTGATTTGCTGCAATAAACAGTTGTGCTGCTTAATATTTTTTGTGGAAACCGTGAATCCTTTTTTTCAGGATTCACTGAGAACATTCAAAAGATCAGCGTTTATTTGGAAGATAAATCTTTTGTATCATAATAAGTGTCTTTACTGTCACTTTCGAACAATTGAATGTGTCCTTGTTGATTAAAAAATCAAACTGGCCCCAAACTATTTAAGTGGTAATGTTTGTTACATTTCCATTTGTTATTAACACTGGTGCTGGATTGAAGGCACACCACTTTACACTTTGAGCAAGGAACCAAATCTTTATATATCTGGCAGAATTAATCAGATTCTGCCAAATAAATGTCTCAGATTTCCACTGTGCTCAGTAATAATTTTTTGTTGATGAATTTCAATCCCCAACTCTTGTCTTGTCTTTATTTTCTCAAAATAAATTGTTCCTGCTTCTTTAAGATGATTCATTTATATGGTTGCATTCCTCATTTTTAAAATCACTTTTCATAAAGGTGTGTGCTTAAAGAAGAAATGTGAATGTAAAGCAGCATTCAAAGAACACAAGCTATTGGTTGGATCCTGGAATCAGTAAAAATTGCAGACAGTTCAAAGTCTTTTATCTGAATTATTCACCAAGTGGAGAAACGACAATAGTGTTTGATCTTTCTCTCCAGAGTCTGAGGTGAGAGTTGTTGTGCAGTTTGCCATGAGAAATATCACACAAGAAATCATCAGAAGCGATGCAAATGCAATGACAGTTTTCCTCCATTTGAAGGGATCATAAGACTCTCTGAGTGGGAGTTGCCCCCCATTCCACGAGTATTTTCTTGTTGTGACACTGTATTTTATGGCTCGGTTTATTTCAAGATGGATACTGAGTGGATTTTAGCCTGTAACTAATCCATCTATTTCTTGTTTGTTTCACAATTTTTGTGCAGGGTCTTCTCGAGGAATGTCAGTACCTCTTTCAACCTCAGCTCATTGTTCAGAGGCTCATTGGGATTTCAGTGCTGTATCCTGGTTACTTCATTGACCAGATGATTCCTCTTCATAATAGATCTGTACTCTACAAGTGAGTGACTGTTTTTAAGGTGAATCACATCCAAGCAGACTTAAACACACACACACACACACACACACACACACACACACACACACACACACACACACACACTTACAGACTAGAGCAAATCATCCAGGCCATTCCATACACCCACAACAAATTCTGAAACAAGGACAACCCTATTCTAAATTGCCTAACCCAATTTCTAAATTGCCTAAATGTCAAAATTATTACAATAACAGTTACATCATTACAAAATCTTTATAGTAAAATCCTAATTCTGAACATGTTATTGCATTATAATGAGTCATATTTTCCCTTACGAAAATTAACCATTGTTAATTTTTGTAATGGTTGTGTTGTTGTCTGCCCTAGCTCCTTCTAAACCTGTGATTATTTGTCTGCTAAATTACTACTGCAACCTTACAATAGATAATAATGATGTATACAGTGTTTTGAGTGATGAGTAATGGGCTGCTACTGTTAACAGGTGCTAGCAGTTTAATACTTAAGTAAGTAAACAAAGACAAAACTACAATAGCCTATTTACAGATGAAACTGACCTGCACTTGAAGTCCTGAACAGGTCAGTAATTTTGCCTCTCTGCTCTACCTGGGCGCTTCCACTCCATTCTCGAGTCTCTCGCATTGATTACCCTGATCGAAACCATTTGGCGGAGGTGCGGAGCACGTGTGAGCAGAATCTTAGCATTGCCAGTCACGACTACTATTTCATGATTTATTGGAGATTTTTTATCCAATGTCAAATTTGGAAATAATCGCTTTAGTACATTCAGCAGGCAATTAAATATATATAAAAAAACAGGGCAGAGGGGCTGGTGGCCTGGCAACCGATTTGGCATTTTTTTTCTTTCTTTTTTTTTTTAAACACACACACACACACAGACACACACACACACACACACACACACACACACAGGTTTGTTTTTGTGAAAAGTGGGGACATCCCATAGGCGTAATGGTTTTTATACTGTACAGACCGTATATTCTATTGCCCTACACCAACCCTACCCCTAAACCTACCCCTTACAGGAAACTTTGTGCTATTTCAGATTTTCAATACACTCCATTCTGTATGATTTATAAGCGTTTTGAAAAGTGGGGACATGGGGTAATGTCCTGAAAAGTCACCTTCTCCTTGTAATACCTATGTCATACCTTTGTCATTATACAAATTTATGTCCTCATTTTTCACAAAAACGCGTACACACACACACACACACACACACACACAAAATATAGAGAAAAGTCTGTCATTTACACTAACATTGACATGTCTAGGGTAATTTTTCCGAGAAATATTACTACTTTTATTAATACCTTCATTCAGCAAGAGTGCATTAAAAGTGACAGCAAATACATTTATAATGTTACAAATAATTTATTTTAAATAAAAACTTTGTTTTTTGAGTACCAAATCAGCATATTAGAATGATTTCTGAAGGATCATGTCACACTGAAAATTCAGCTTTTCAATCAGTAAATTCTATTTTAAAACATATTAAACCGAAAACAGTTTTTTCTTCAATTTTAATAAAAAAAATGAAGCCTTGGTGAGACTTCTTTCGAAAGCATAAAAAATCATACCGACCCTAAATTCTTGAATGGAGCTGTAATCACCCTCATGTTATTCCAAACCCTTAAATAAAACTATTTTTTTAAGATTGTGAACATTTCTACTCTATTGTCATCTTCGCAGACTTTCACCACACATTTTTCCATATCAGACACATGAACGCACACACCGTGCAAGTATCTCACCTTTTCTCTCCCTCGTTCTGCTCTCAACACTTTAACATTCCACACACATCTTTCTCTCAAGCTTCCCTCTGTTTCAGGCTTCTACTCTCATTAGGTTCAGATATTAAAGCTCTCCTCTCAATTAGCAAATAAAGCGTTCTAAATGAAAAAGAGGAAAATAGAGGAGGGAGAGGTGATGAAATGCATTCATAAACAACCGGGTACACAGAAAAGACCTCGAGCACTGGATATTATGAAGATGGGCTTTTTTTTCTTCATTAAAAGCTGGTTTCCAGCGAACATTTCAGAAGAACAGTTCACTGTATGCTGTGACACTTGGGAAGCTGCTGTTTAATGGATGTCTGGAGAATAGTATATACTATTTTGTAACTTATACAGGATATATGCCTCATGAAATAATGTATATGAAGAAATGTCTGTAATATGTATATAACTTTATATGTCAAATATAGTTATTATGCATAGCTCTTGTTATTTAGACGGACAAAGATTAGTCAAGTTTGTCAATTAAATTAAGTTTTTTATAAGAATTTGTATTATTCATAATAGGACATACTGTTTAATCAGTTGTGAAATACAAAACAGTGCTGCATAAAATTGGAAGAAAGGATAAATTAACCATGCAATAAATTATTATAATTTTTTTCATTTCAAGGCAAATTTCAAAGACCAAGTTTCAAAACACTTTTTTTCCCAGAAGCGATCCAGCGGATCTGTAAACAAATTGTGCTCCGCTTGATTGAGCATTTGGAGTGCTGTTCATATCGTTAATGATCAAAAACCAAAAGACAAAGCCAATTGTGTCATGGCCAAAAATCTAGATATTAATTATTTATTCTAACTTCACAGTTGTTCTCAATCTCTGTTTAAACTGAAAAGGGCAACTTGCATTAGTTTCCTGATTAGTTGTTATTGATGTAGAAAATTAAGACAGAGAGATATCACTGAATTATTTTATGCATTTTCAACGAGTTTGTTAAAATGAGCTGAAGTTTAAAGTTCTCCTGAGAGTACAAAAGCGCATTCCCTTTTAAATATTTCCTTGGCATTTCAATAAGCATACCAGTATTGTTCAGTACTGTCTGTGTATCTCATGAGACAATGTCTGCTACAGTCAGTGTACCTTTCAAGCAGATGTCCTCTATATTTCTCTCCCTTGTACCTGGCAGAGTGTTCATCCCAAACTACATCTCTCGGGTGAAGGTACAGCTTGTGGACTGCAATACAAAGAACAAAAGTGGGGAGAGCTGTCCGGTTTTGTTGAAAATCCGCTCGAGGGCCCCGCCGGTGCATAACTCTAGCGCCGTGGACTGCAGAGAGAATGTTCCCTGTGAGCTGGAGGTCCCTCTGCCATCCTGGGAGCAGTGGTACTATATTTTGGTGGAGCGTTACCTCAGTAGCTCAGATGTGTACTTTCGCATTGGCGTTCAGGTTAAAGGTAAGAGCTTGTTTTAACTTTGAGTTTGTATTGGATTAATCATAGTTTCATAATCAACCTGATCATTCCATCCTCCACAACAATCACTCTGTATTCTCTATTTCTTTCTGATTCTTTTGTCATCATGTAGGGCTTTGCAAAGCCTTTAGCTGTGTATGAACATACGATGGCCCCAAAAGTATTTAGACACTTGTGAATCCCCCCCCCCCCCCAAAAAAAAAGCCTGAATTTCATTGCATAGATAACATAACAACAAACAATTCTGCAAATAACTTGAGTTTTGTTTTTTCTTTTCTAAACTTCACTTTTCTTTTTCTTTTTTCAAAGTGATTTTAGTGAATGTATGAAGTTCTCCTCTAGTTCACACAGGTACAGTATCCTAGCAGATTAACCACATCCTAATTAATGTGTTCCTGAACATCTGACGACCAGAAAGTGTCCAAATACAGTTTGTCTTAGTTTTTAAAAGCATATCTATTGTTTTATAGTTTGATCCAAAATCTAATATTTATTGTTATTTTATTTTGATAATATTTATGAATGTTTTGCTTAAAAAGGTCAAACATATTATTACATTATATTATATTTCCTTAAAATATATTATTGTTCAAATATTTTGGGTCAGTATTTTTTTAACAAGTTAATACTGTTAATCAGCAATGATGCAAAACTGTTTTCAACATAAGAAATGTTTCTTGAGCACCATATCAGCATATTAGATTAATTTGTGAAATATCATGTGACTGAACATTCAGTTTTGCCATAACAATTTTTTTGCAATATTACTATATTTACTATATTTTTGATTAAATATAAAAAAAGCCTTGAAAATAAGAGAATTCTTAAAAAAAATACAGTAAATAATAAAAAATCTCACTGGCCTCAAACTTTGTTACAGTAGTGTACAATAAATGTCACTTGGTTTGGTATGATATAATGAGTGACATTTATTCATTAAAACTTACAAGTACATTTCTTTGGGTCAACTTTGAGTGTAATTTTTTTTACCATCATCTGTTACTCTGCAAAAGGTAGAATTTAAGGCAGGAATCCATATTGCAATGCCGTAAAGTCAAAGTTTTGGGATCTTACATGTCATTTACCATGAGCTTTCAGCCAGTAACATAAAATCACTCTATGAATAGGTCCACCTGGTACCATATTTTCCAGCCAGTGTTTGGGGGAACGCTACTGGATGCCAGTACATTCTCTGATTCATTGATGGCCTGTAGTGCTTTAGGTTGCAACAATCCCAGCAGACTCCGGTGGAAATATTTTAGTCCGGCACAAATGAGAGGGCAACAGCTTGCAGATTTGATCTGGGCTTCATTAATTCTTTATTGGGATTTATCAGTACAAATGTTACAGGCATATGGCTTCTAGTCATTGTTTGGTTTCAGCATCGCGATGAATTGCATTTGAGCATATTAAAGCTACCTGGCTGGAACACATTTCGACTTCACTGCTAGAAGGGTTTTCACAAAGGCAGGTGTTCTCATGGCCCAGGTGGAGTTGGGAAATTAAAGTGTGTTTAGAGAGAGACAGGCTTTGTTACGAATCTCTGTGAAAAATTGGAACCTCAGTGGGCTCAGATGAGGACCCTGTCATGGATTGGAGCCTCCGCCTTTTATTCTGCCTGATGTTACAATGAACTGTTGATGAATTCAGTACTTTTCTGTGACTTGAGTCGTCGTGATGAATATGGCAATTGGGCTGCTCGCAAAGTGTGAAATAGACGGGGCACTCAATTCAGTCCCATGGACCGTATTACTGCAGAATCGGAAAGTTGCACGCTCACTTTAAAAGACTCGCTTTGAGTTCGATTTGCTCTTTCTGCTTAAATCTGTACGTTGTTTCAAATTACACAGCTGTTGTTTATAGTGTATTCATATGAACTGATTTTGCCAGAATGTTTGATTGGATCTCAGTTTTAGAGCATTAATATATTATGTTAACTATCATTCACAACTTAAATGACCTTCCTATGAAAACACCTCCAGTTTACAAGGTCAGAATTCAATTTCCCTCCTCACAAGAGAAACGCTGTTAGCAAAAATCCCCCTCTCTGCTTCTTTCAAATCTACCATGTTCTCTCATTTTGTGTGAGGGTTCTCTGTTCGTCTGTTCCCCAATTTTTCCTCCACGTCCTGCGGTCCAGCAGAATCCCTGCCTTTGTTACAGCCTTGATGCCAAGGGATGTTGGCACTGATGGCTCGGTACACTCTTAAAAATAAAGGTGCTTCACGATGCCATAGAAGAACCTTTTTGTCTAAATGGTTCCATAAAGAACCTTTAACATCTGAAGAACCTTTCTGTTTGACAAAAGCTTCTTTGTGGTGAAAGAAGGTTCTTCAGATTACAAAAAGGTAAGAAAGAGATGGTTCTTTAAAGAACCTTTGACTGATTGGTTCTTCTATGGCATCGCTTGAAGAACCTTTTGAAGCACCTTTATTTTTAAGAGTGTAAGAGGGGATGAAGAGGAGGGCCATTGATTTTCAATGAGGCTGAACAGTCTCAGACCAGCTTAGATAAAGCACTCACAGGGGGAACAATTGGCCATGATGAGACGGTGTACCTGCGGAGAGCATTATCTGTGCAAGGAGCAGAAAAAGGAAAAACCTGTCTAGCAAGGAGTTATTGCAGTGCTGTTCTGTCACATTCAAGGCTGAGAGTCAATTTTGTCACTTCAGACTATTCATAAAGAAGGAATCAAAATCCTTTTTGCTCAATGAATTTGGGCCGTCAAACGATTAAAACATTACAATAGATTAAAAATATCCTTTTTTTTTTTTTGCAGATTTGCAAGTAATGTCATGTTTTCTCATTCCTTTATAATGCATTCATTCCTTTTTCATGAAATATCAACATAATAAGTACCAAAGATTTGTACCACTAGCCTACAGCAGTCCATTTAGCAGTCCATGTATTTGCATTAACAGTGTTTTTGCTCCTGAGTGATTTTTCATATTTGTTGTTAATATTTGTTATTAAATTCTTCCATGCAAAGACTGCAGATGACACTCTCTTATATTTTTGTCACTGGCTTTGTTTTTAAAACATGATCCAAATGGACACATCAGTGTCATTGCACACTAATTTCACATGAAGTTTTATAGCAATGGAAGAATATAGATGTAATGATGGATGATTAAGATTAAGTGTCCTACAATACCTGTGTTCACCCATCATTACTACCGCTTATATAACATAGCTAATCCAGTGACCCAAGAGCACTGTAATCAAGGTAACTATTAGACATCATCTAACACTGTCATCCGTTTCTCCTCTATGCCATTTTTCACCAGTTGTGATGGTCCATACGCTGTATCACATGACCTTGTAGTATCACCTGTGTCAGAAGGTTTTGGTCAGCGCTTCTGTCAGCCTTAATTCAATTATTCTGAACCCAGCTCCCCTTTCCTTGATCAATTTCTCTGAATAGCAGATACTGGCTGGCTGCCATCTCTCTCCCATCTCCCAAGTCAGTATGACTCTTCATGTCCTTCCTTTGCTTTGTCTCTGCACCATTCATTCCTCTTGATATTCCTAATGGAAAGAACAGATCATTTACAAGTTCAACAAGAACCATATGGAAGTTGCTGTGTGTGGAATCCTTTTCCTCTTAGCTATTTTCAAGACAAACCTGTGTTTATTAATGATAAGACAGTAGAAAAACTATACAGATTTTATATGATCCTCAGATGAACTGAACTACTCTTATAGTGAAACCTAAAAGATTATGAAATGACCAGTATATGTCTTGAAAACGTTTACACATTTTCACTTTAATGGATTTGTTTCGGTTGGGGTTGGGGTTCGTGCGCGTGCCTCAGAAGGGCTTACAATGACTTACAAAGATACATAACAGCTACAAGTGTATGCACTATTTGCTTTATGCAAGCGCTATATAGGAGAAATCACTATACAGGATTTACCCTATTATACTTTATCGACACAAATTTATAGGTGAAACAACAAACAGCCACCCACAAATAGTCTAGAAACAAAGCATCAGGCTGTCTTTGAGTTCACATAAAAAACGCTTAAAGTTACTCGTCGCCAGGCTACAGAAGAATACCATAATTCCTCCGTTCAATTAGGCCTAAGACATCGAGAGTCACGCAGACCTATAACAACCCAGCCACAACACATAATTGCGAATAACATGCCTTACCTTAACATAGAATCGACCACAGAGTCCAACGTTTATATTTTATATTTATATTTCTACGAATCTTTAAGTTAACGTACTAAACATGAGTGGAATTTGCACCGCAGCGCCCCCGCACCTTGATGCTCATGACAAGAATAGCATGTATAGTTATCTTTATTGAAGTGAATTAGGTTTAAATCGCCGTCATGCATGAATGAATGATATTTTTGCAATTTTATACATAATAATCTACGATGATCACATTACATAAAACTGAAATTGCACGTCAAAATAACACATTGTCAATATTTTTTGAGACCCCCCAATATTTCACAAATCACGTATTCAGGGGAGCCCATGTCTTATTAAGGGGAGCCGAGCTCCTCCGTAATTCGCACCCTGGTTGTGGTCAGGTTTTCTCTCTGTGAGATGCAGTAAAACTTTCATCATCTGAGTGAATCATGTCCAGAACGAAACAAACACAACTAGACCAAACAGAAACAGGCAGTGGTTAGACAGTGAATCTGTTTGGGTATTTTGTAGAAATGTTGTTGTGGTCTTGTATATCTAGTCAAGTCGAGTCACCTTTATTTATATAGCGCTTTTAACAATACAGATTGTGTCAAAGCAACTGAACAGCATTAATTAGGAAAATAGTGTGTCAATAATGCAAAATGACAATAGTAAACACAAATTTTTCAGTTAAAGACAGTTCATCATTGAATTCAGTGATGTCAACATCCAGCTCAGTTTAAATAATATCTTTGCAATCATGTCAACAATATCGCTGGAAATGAAGTGTCCCCAACCAAAACTCCATCGGTGACAGAATGGAGAAAAAACCTTG